TCATCATGATCACCTGGGATCTATTCAGTATCACCAAAGAAAGAGGTAAGCAAGTATCAGTTCTCTCAAAGCAAAAGAGGAAAAATAAGAGTAAGCAGATATGCTTGGAAACTGCATGATTGTTCCCCCATTGGAGCACCACCAGACTGTGTTGAAAACAAAATTCCATGCTTAAGCCAAGAATAAACTTATGGGCATATATTGGTTCTCCAAGATCACCTTCTCAGTTTCCTCATTTGGATTCGAATGTTAGATCCCAAATGTGCTTGGTCACCAGAAGCACCTGTGGGAATTAGGGGAAAAAATACACATTTCTGGGCATCCCTCATCAAGATTCTACTTTAGCTCACATAGACTGAAGCTCCAAAATATCTGTGTGTGTAGAATTCACTAGGTGGGTGTAATTATCAGTCAAGTGAAGGTGACACTGGAATAGGGTGCTTTTGTGTTTGTTTGTTTGTTTTTGTGTTTTTTTTTTTTTTTTTTTTTTTGTGTGTGTGTGTGTGTGTGTGTGTTCGTTGTTGTTGTTGTTTTTTTAGCCTATTTAGAAGAACTGACCATTTTAAGGAGAAGATGTTTCCTTCTCTTTTAGAGATCCCCATATTTACCAGTCTTTGATCAGGGAGAAGTGATCTGCAGGCCAAGGGTTACTCTGAGACTCCTTTAGAAGTTACTGAACATAAAAGGTGGATAAGGGATAGAGGGCCTTAGAGGCTGGTGCTCTGATTAGTAGTTGCACAGATCCCATAGACTTGGACTTGCTAGAGGCATGGGAACTTTCCTCTTAGTATTTTAAGTTTTGGGCTCAACTCCCAAAACTTTGGGAGATGTTCCTTTGAGGGATGTCCGACTGTTGGTTTAGGCCCGATCCTTCTTTTCAGCAGAACTCACTGCGCTGGTTTCAGTGGGGAGTGAAGACACCCATGAATCACCACGTGCTTTCCAGACCAATGCTTGTTCTGCAACTAAGTCTGCAAAAAGCACTGAGTGGTGGGCTCACGGGTGGGAGGTAGACAGGGCCCTCAGGCAGACATTAATATTATGCTACGATCAGACCCTGGGATGCAACACTGCAGATGACGAAGTGGGGGATATGGATTGTTATAGCCCTCATTCATCTCAAAAGCAGCTCCCGCCCAGGAAATCCTGTTTACATTCATGGGAGGAGAGTCGCCTGACCACAGCAAAGAGGATCCCGTAGCTAAGAATCCTCTCGAGGGTATGAATAGTGCTGCATTACTTTTCAGGAAAAAGAATGTGCTCTAAGGCACACCTGCCCTGCTTGCAAATATTCCCAGGGACAACATACTGTGTCTAGAGTTCAGAGCACATAAATTAAGATAAGCAGTCCCCCAAACCAACACCCCGAAGCTTGTTTTCATCTCAAAACCATTTGAAAATCAGAAAGAAAAAAAGAAAAAAAGAAAACCAGGAAATTTTAGACAACAGCCTCCTTGAGAGAAACATAGTATCATGACAGACTGAGATTGGGTTTTAAAAGTCACCTGTTCTGCAGGAAATATATCTTTGTAAGGAGAAAATGCACCTTAAAGTGTATTCTTTTGCAGAAACTGGTTTGGTTCAGAGGATAGAGTATCGGCCTTCGGACTAAAAGGTCCCAGGTTCTATTCCGGTCAAGGGCATGTACCTTGGTTGCAGGCACATCCCCAGTAGGGGGGTGTGCAAAAGGCAGCTGGTCGATGTTTTTCTCTCATTGATGTTTCTAACTCTCTATCCCTCTCTCTTCCTCTCTGTAAAAAATCAATTTTATATATAAGTATATATATTTTAAAGTGCATTCTTTTTTGTGGTTGTTTTCATCCTCACCTGAGGATATTTATTCCATTGCTTTTCAGAGAGAGTGAGTGGAAGGGAAGGAGGAGGAGAGAGAGAAACATCAATGTAAGAAAGACACATTGACTGGTTGCCTCTGGCACACACCCCAACTTGGGATGGTTGAGGAGTGAACCCACAACCCAGGTATGTGCGCTTGACTGGGAATCCAACCAAATACCCTTTGTTATGTGTGCCAATGTTCTAACCCACATGTGTCAAACACAAGGCCTGCGGGCCAAATCCATCCCGCCAGGCCTTGCAATGTGGCCCGCACTGCGCTGTCATCACTGCACTCCGCTGCGTTTCCATCACAATGACAGTTTATGACTGTTCAGTAAACCATTCGGCCCGCGATTTAGGCTGGATTTTAGATTTTGGCTCCTTCTCTGATTGAGTTCAACACCCCTATCTAACCTCTGAGCAAGGACAAAATGCATTCTTAATTTTAAGAAAATCTGTTTTTTTCAGCTTGTGTTAATTATATTAAGTTGAATGATGCCAAAAAATGAAATAATTCTCAACAAGTTTGGCAAGTTAAACCAACATGCTAAGACAAACATAGTTTGCAACTGTAAGAAAACAAACATTTTCTACCATAAACATTTATCAACTGGAATTTCCCATAGTAAATTTACTCTACTTTAGTGTTTCACATAAATTATCCTTGGAACATTGAGAGCAAATCTTGCAATTTTATGGGAGACATTCATTGCCCTTTTAGAAAATAGACAAAATTTTTTATTGTATGGTAAAATATGCATCATAGGTCCAGATTTTACTTAAAATTTAAGGTAATTGTTTTGTAAGTATTTACTTATCTTTTTCTTACTTAACTGACAAAATAAAATAAGCTGCAACTTGTCTTCTCAATGTATCTATAAATTTTTTTCTTAATTTTTGAAGGTTGTTCATTAGCTTCTAACCTAGTCCATGGCTTCCGCTCCAGTTATATATTTCAGCCAAGAATGAGCCAATGATTCCAGTGATGACAGAGAGGTGGATCTGTGACTCAACTCAGAGTCACAGGTTAAACTTACTATGTAGTAACTTCAGGCTAGATAGAGTGAGTAAGGCTATGAGAAATGAAACAGTTCCTGCCCTAGAGGAGCTTACATCTAGTGTGCCAGACATGATGTCATATAGGAAACTATATGACACCTATGTACTGTATTTTTCGGACCATAAGACGCTCCGGACCATAAGACGCACCAGTTTTTAGAGAAGAAAAATGAAGAAAAAAAGATTCTGAAACAAATAGTGTCCTAAAATATTTTATGTGCAGTAAAACCCAACATCACAGTCATAAACACATGTAATCAACCCTGTAAAGTAAACAGCAGCATTTAGAACCATTTTAGAGCCGGGCAAGCACACAGAGACCACACAGAGCCGGGCAAGTAAAAAAACTTTTTTTTTAAAGTATATGTGTAGGCTATATTTGGACCATAAGACGTAGGGACTTTTTCCCCCCACTTCTGGGGGAAAAAAGGTGCGTCTTATGGTTCAAAAAATACAGTATATACTAGAGGCCCGATACATAAAAATTCATGCAAGAGTAGGCCTTCCTTACCCCAACTGCCAGCACTGGCTTCCCTCTGGCACCTGGGACCCAGGTGGCTTTGCTCCAGTCCCAGCTTTATCTGGAAGGACATCTGGTCTAATTAGCATATTACTCTTTTATTATTATAGATATACTACAGGCTTTGTGCATGGGGAGGGGGTGTCCCTCAGCCAAGCCTGCACCCTCTCCAATCTGGGACCCTTTGGGGATGTACAACTGCTGGTTTAGGCCTGATCTTAAACCAGCAGTTGGACATCTCTCTCACAATCCAGGACTGCTGGCTCCTAACTGCTTACCTCCTAACCACTCCCCTGCTGGCCTGGTTGATGCCTAACTGCTCCCCTGCTGGCCAGATCACCCCAAACTGCTCAACCCTGATGGCTCAATCACCCCCCACTTCCCTCCCCAGCAGTCCTGGTTGTCCCCAACTGCCCTCCCCTACTGGCCTGTTTGCCCCCAACTGCCCTCCCCTGCCAACCATTTTGTGGTAGCCATGTTGTGGTGACCATTTTGTGACAATGTGGGGGCAGCCATCTGTGGTGGCCATCTTGTGATAATGCCATGCATGACACCACCTAGGCTTTATTATAAAGGATACACATACACTGTCTGCTCTGCCTGTAGTGGGCATGTATGTGTTGGAGGCCAGATGCATCTAGAATGATAGCCAGTCAGCCAGCCTGAAGACAATTTGGAAAAAAAATGAAGAGCTAAAGATCACTTTCATTTTACTTTACAACTTGCCAACTTTGCTTTTGTGGAACACCTATCATATTCTGAAATACAGAGTAAAAACCAAGAGCCATGCCAGTCTAGGAGCAAAGGTAATTAAGTAGATGACTTTCCCCAGAGGTCTCAAGTTTGCATAATTCATCTCTAAAAATACATGCATGTCAATTGAATGATGTTTGAAACATATTGAGTCATCCTGGTGAGTCAGAACTTGTATTGGTATTTATTGTCTAGACTGTTGCCAAGGCCTGCATGCTAGGTCTCTCTGTTTTTATTCTTGTCCTATTACAGTCTATTCTCCACACGGAAGGCCTTGGCCTTGGACACGAAGAAGGATGTGGGAATGGAGAGGAAGGACAAGTCCTGAGCTTAGCCTGTGAATCTCTTAAATGGCCAGAAACCACTGCTCTGGGACCAAATAGATCAGTTGCCTTCTTGGTTTAAATAGTAAAATTGTAGAGAGGATGTGCAATAGGGGGGCTTGGTGGTGGTCAGTATCCAAATTCTTCTTTTCTTCTAAAAATTTTATTAGAAATTCTTTTGTTGTTGTTGTTAATTTTTACCCAAGGATAGTTTTCCATTGATATTTAGAGAGAGTGGAAGGGAGAGGGAGATACAGAGAAAGAGAAACATTGGCCACCTCCTGCATGCTGTGCCCTTGACAGGAATTGATCCTAAGACCCTTCAGTCCATGGGCCAACACTCTATCCACTGAGCCAAACCAGCCAGGGCTTTGCTAGAAATTCTTAAAGGCTGATGTGGCCCAGCATCCACATGTTCCAGTCATCACCTTTAAGTGCTAAAATGTCTATGGTGTTCTCTCTCCACCACCCACAGTAAATTCTCACAGCCTCCTTATGTTTCATTTCAGTTGCCACAAGTCATCCTACAGCTCAAGAATACACTGTTGATATTGAGATGAGTTTTGAAAATGCCTCCTTCCTGGAACCTGTCAAAGCTTACCTGAACAGCCTCAGTTTCCCAATTCAAGGCAATGACACTGACGTCACTGCCAACATTCTGAGCATAGAGGTGACAACAGGTAAGTAAAAGCCCCTTTGCTTCAGAAGGGAGGATTGGGCATATCAAGAGTAAGGCTCTCTGAGCTCCTTCCCATTAGAACAAATTATACTGAGTAGGCAAGTACAATGACCCAACGAGCTTGACCTGTGGTTTTGTTGCTTCATTGCCTTCCAGATGAAATCTCTATTGGTAAACTCTGCATCCAGTTTGCTTATTTTAAATGGTGACCACATGTTTACTTGGTGGTTTGTTGGTTGGTTGTCACAAAGTGGTCCCAAGATATGGCCATGAAAACTACTGGATCCTCTTACTCTGGGCAATCAGTGGATATGGAAAGTATAAGTTCAGGAGACTGATAAGCAGAAGTTTCCTTCTTTTTTGGCATCATAGGTCAGGAAATAGGAACCAGGTACATGCCCAGGTCAGAACTAAGGCATTAAGCAGGACCTCCCAGACTTGGGACTTTCTAGCAAACAAAACTAAGGGCCAGACAGTGTATGTAAAGTACCAAATAATACCTGGAATGTGGTAACTGGTCTGGTTATGATTGCTTTTGTCATCCTCTTAAAGCAAGTTTGTATTTTACATGAGAGTCAAAAGTTCTTCAAATACTACCCCCATATTCTTCTCAAAAGAAACAAAAACAAAACAAAAAATGCTTTAGCAGTGGGATTTCAGGTCAGTAAAAGAGAGATTTTGACAAAGGGGGTCTTTTTGGCTCCCTTCAAATTCCCCCACCAATGATCCCCACCCTCACCAGCAGGCTGGACACCCTCTGCTCCCTAAGCTTCTGCCCAGCTCTCACCAACTTCCAGAGCACGGGCCTACATCAGCATCCAAGGACTCACTGGGACTCAGTTGTTTCTCCTATTTCAGGAGCAATTATTTCATGGCTTTCTTTTGGAAAGTCACTCTGTTGAGCCTTTGCCCAGGTGCCCATCTGCAGAAAAAAATAGCTCCTAGTGATTTGACTTTGGTCCAGTTTTAGAAATAAATTCAGCACTCTGTTTTCAGAGCATGTTCAGTGTCCCCTTAGTATCAGAGTCTGTTTGGGCTGCTCACATTTGACATGAAATGTAAAAGGCACAATTTTGCTTGTACTCTTCATTTGTTATCTATTGCTGTATAACAAATTACCCCAAAACTTAGCATTCAAACAACAAACTTGCCAAAGCCGGTTTGGCTCAGTGGTAGAGCATCAGTCTGTGGACTGAAAGGTCCCAGGTTCGATTCCAGGCAGGGGCATGTACATTAGTTGCGAACACATCCCCAGTAGGGGGTGTGCAGGAAGCAGCTGTTCGATGTTTCTCTCTCATCGACGTTTCTAGCTCTCTATCTCTCTCCCTTCCTTTCTGTAAAAAAAATAAAATAAAAAATAAAAAAATCAATAAAAATATATTTAAAAACAAACAAACAAACAACAACAAACATGTCACAGTTTCTGAAGGCTCTGACTCAGGATTTGGGAAAAGCTTAGCAGGCTCTGACTCAGGATCTCTCATGAGGTTGTCAAGCTGTCCACCAGAAGAGCAGTCATCTGAAGGCTCAACTGGGGGTGGAAAATTCTCTTTCAAGCTCACTCATGTGATTCCCAGCAGGCCTCATTTCCTCACTAGCTATTGGCTGGAGACCTCAGTTCCTCACTCTGTAGTTTTGTGAAATGTCATGACATGTTCTCATGTGATGATAGCTGGCTTCCCCCAGAGCAAGTGATGCAAGAGAGAATGAGAGAGAGCCTCCAAAGTGAAAGCCAGAGTGTCTTTATAACCTAATCTCAGAAGTAATACTTCTGTTATAATATAGTTATTGGTCAAACAGACCAAGCTCGGTACAATCTGAGAGAGAACTACATAAGAGTGTGAATGCCCAGAGGTAGGGATAGTAAGGGCCCATCTTGGAGGCTGGCTACTGTATGTCAGAAATCTCTCATATTATCATTGTAGGCATGCCCTGGGCTAGTTGGATAGTCATCTTTTAGATGCCCATGTCTAATAGCATGGTGTTACATACAGGAGTCATGGGAATCTCATGCAGTACTCTTGAACTTATCAGAAGGCCAATATGGAGTGGAGTTAGACTATATTTGCAGTCTATAAATGCAAAAGTGGTGATCACTTTCTCTCTCCTCACTGTTTTGGTTGATGATAGTCTGCAGGCCTACTGGAAATGAAATCTGGTGCTCCTGTGAGACAGGCTATAGGTGGCCTCAGGAACAGTGCCTTCACAATCTCACGTGTCAAGAGCAGGACAATGCCCCTGCTGGGCATCATTGCAATTGCCTTAAAGGACTGCCTCCCAGTGGACCTTTTTGTCAGCTCTGGAGAGGTAAGTAACTGCTCATCAGATATTCATTTTGCTGAGTGGCTATTTGGTGTAAGATCAAGTAAATGTTTCTGTGTCCTGTGTGATCTTAAAGGCTAACATGAAATTTTAAAATATTTCCCCCTTTTTTCAGACATAACCCTGAGAATGTCAGTCAGACTCAATGTGGGCTTTCAAGAAGATCTCAAGAACACTTCCTCTGCCCTCTATAGGTCCTACAAGACTGACTTGGAAACAGCGGTAGGTTTTGGTCTCACAGGCCTCTGGACCAAACAAACTTTGGGCTGCACTAAATCTATTACATTGACTATGGATAGTTTGCTTGGATCTTTCAGAATTTATGAATGTGGATGTTAAAACTATTCCTGTACTTCTGGGATGATGAATTCATAAGAGCTTGAATCAGTGTTCAGGGGATGATTGGACATCATCTTGACCTTTAGATGGGACTTCTTTCCAGGATAGAGTTGATTCAGATATTTGGAACCCTCTGTTCCAAATCACTCTATGCTAATAGTTCATAGGCATTCACTCTTAAACCAGATTTAAGTTTACTCCTGTGAAAATAGATACTATTCCCTGAGTGTTAACTGTGTGCCAGACACTATTGTCAGTGAATTATAGTGGATGACTTCATCTAAACTTAAATGCTTTACTTTTCCAAATTATCTTATTTGGAATAAACCATCCCCACTGGTGTCGCACAAATTATTACAGGTAGCCTGAGATCATGACTTCCCTAACTCTCTGGGCAGATGAGCTCCTACCTCAAGCCAGGAGCAGGCTAGGAGCAAACTTGAGTGTGCCACATAAATATTATCATTTTCCATGGTGCCATGTTAGAGTCCTGATGCTATAGAGCTCTTGGACATCTGATTTATATATGTGGCATGTAATATTTCTATACATCATGAGAGTCCTTCTTATATACCCACCCACATGCAAAATCACGTATGTTTGAGGAAAGAGAGTCACATACTAAAATCTGGATCCCACCCATGCAGGTACCTGGTACAGAGTGCTTTGCACATTGCATCTGTCCTATTTATGTGACTTAAATTAAATTGAATTTCCTATAGGGTTGATATTCAGAGGAACGAACTGGAGTAAAAACATCATCATAAACCACATTGGCTCAAACAGTGCTGCAATATGTTAAGTGAAGCATGAGACAGTGCAGTGGCCTTAAGTGTACCTCCTAGATCTCCAACTATCGGGAATGTAATTGACCATGCCCCTCAGCTGCTGCCTCTGGTGGTCATGACAGTGCTTATTGCTCACTGCTAATGAATGAGCTCGGCAGGTCTGCAATTTCCAGATTCAGACTCATTTGAAGGCCTTCCCAAACCTTCCCAGGCTCAGTCTAGGATGGTTTCATCCAACCTTCATTCCCAATCTCTTCCACTTGTGGTCAAATGTCTCACTCTGCCTTCCTGCTGCCTCTCCCATTTTTTTTTTCTTGAATACATACATTTTTGTTGATTTTAGAGAGAAGAGGAGAGAGGGAAAGAGATAGAAGCATCAATAATGAAAGAAAATAGTTGATCTGCTGCCTCCTGCACACCCTCTACTAGGGATTGAGCCCGCAATCTGGGCATTCGCCCTGATCAGAAATCCAACCATGATCTCCTGGCTCATGAGCCAACGCTCAACCAATGAGCCACACTGCAAGGCTTCCCATATTCTTTCCTAGTTGCTTTCCTGAGTAGTAGTAAATGTTTCTACATTTAACCTGGTGTTTGCTTCTTAGAGAACATAGACATTCCGAAGTAGATAATAGGAGTGACTTCTTCAGAGATCAGCTGATGCCAGAGCTAACAAAATACACAGGAGGAGATTTCACTCAGGGTGAAAAAGGAAGATGGGCTTTTTACCCTGTTTCTAATCTCTGAGATCTCTTTCAATGAACCTTGCTACATGACACTGTCTGCTTTATTTTTCAGTTCTGGAAAGGTTACAGTATTTTACCTGGCTTCAAATTGGTGACCGTGACAGGGTTCAGGTAAGAATGCTGTAATTGGGTCGTTTCTATCACAGGTCAACACATCAGTGAAGGAGGAAAAGCCCGTTAGAGGAGGGTCTTCTGGGACACTCAACATGGGCAGAATGCTGGGGCTGAAAGTGGCCGAAATATTGAGAATTGTAGCTCACTCCTTACAGAGGCACCTACTTAGAAGGAAGGTGAAAAAAGACTCGTGTTCATTCTATGCACATAAGAATTTTACAAAGATATGGGCTAAGTTTGTAGTTTAGGAAGTTCAGAAATATAAAAGTGAAATAATGTCACACAATGATGCATTTATTCAAGAAAAGGTGGCCAGCCAGGACGACAGGTGCCCCCTAGAGTTGGGCGCCCTGGCCGACCTGAGAAGGTTTGCACAGTTTTTCAAACAGTTAGTTGCCAATGTTAAGAATGTGTACAGAGACAGTGAGGATTTTGGCTTCACTTGACATTAAGCTTCTCTGGTAACCCCGGGCCAGCATGGCTGTAGGACAACTCTCTGCATTGTGGCTGCCAGCCTATGGCCAGCTTATGTGATTTGTTCACTCACCCCTGCCTGGCTATTTTGTTATTTATGTTACCTGTTGGTATACAGTGGAGTGTCCATGCCTCGCCTCAGGCTTTCAACTAGAGCTTGAAAACACATTGAGTTTAGTGAACCCTTCCTACCATTTTGTTTTCTCATACAAATAAACCATAAGGATCTAGATTCTTCCAGGTCAGTTATTGCTTTACTGAACTGCATGGTCTCCATCCAGGCCCGGAAGTGTGGTTGTGGCGTATGAAATCAGAACTACAACGCCATCCCCTGCAGTAATGCACAGAGCGAATGAGCTGGTCACACAGAACCTCAACCAGACCTACAAAATGGACTACACTTCTTTCCAAGCAGTGATTAGTAGTGAGTAGACATTGCTACATTTCTTTTTTCCTGTGCAATGATTCCATTTAGATATGATAAGGGTGTTTATTGTTATGCTGAAATCTATGAAATTACATTGCGCTGTCCCCTATAGAGAGAGTCTCCGGTCCCCCAGCATAGAGGTCTATGCGCCATCTCTCTGCCTTAGGCTGGTGCAGAGACTTCTCAAAAAGGCTAATTCACTGTAGTTGGGGGAGAGGGTGCCAGGAAAGGGATTTTGTAAGGGGGCCACAGAGCCATCTGGGTTTATGGATTTTAAAAATTACTGTAACAGGTCCAAGATATCCAAAAAAAATACAACCAACATTGTGGTGCAGGTTGGGATATTCATGAAGTGCCCTGGTATTAAATAGGGGGCCCTGTTATTTTAGAGCAGTAGCTGCAAAGTGTGGTGCGAGACCAACAGCATCTGCACTGCAGAAGAACTTGTTGGAAATGCAAATTCTTAGGGCCACCCCAGACCAAGCAGGGCCAATCTGTTTCAACAAGCCCTCCAGGTGATTTGATGCCCAGAAAAGTCTGAGAACTCCTGCTTTGGATCACGTCCAGCAGTGGTGAGAGTCCTGGGATTTTAGATGTTCTCCTACATCTTACAAATGGAGTAGTGCTGGGCTCTATTGTGTTAGGAGGTGGGTGGACCTATGTTGTTGTCCAAAGGGTGCCAAGGGGAGCTGGCTGGGCAGAGATTTGGCAGGCTGGAGTTTGGCTCACAGACATCCTGGATAACACAGGCCCATGGTTCCCAAGTAAAGGTAGTTCTTCTTTGGCATAGCGTGGTCCACCTTGGGGCAGGACAGTGCAGACAGGGCCAAGGGCACAATTGGGAGGGAAGGTGACCTTCTCAGCAGCTAGGCTTCCTCACAGCAGGTTTGTGGTCTTTCTCTTTACATTCTCTGCTGGTATTTTTAACAGCAGATCTTTTTCTTTTAAATAAAATATTGAAAGAGAGATACACAATGGTAAGAAAGTGCTGCAACATAAGCAAGATAAAATAACAAAACAAAATTTCAGAAGAAATAAGGGAAATTTTCAGAACAAACTGATGAAACCTGGAAAGCTATAAAAAAAAAAGGGGGGGGGGGAATAAGTAGCCTAAAAATATGGACTCACACAGAAGAAATTTTAACAATGCCACATCTTCACCCCTAATATCACCCTTAAAATTTATTTTTATTTACTGTTCTAAGGGCATAAATGAGTAGTTTCTTGCATAGGCATTCTTCAATTATTATTTTTTCCCAAAAAAATTTCAGTTGTGCTGAGAATAATCAGACATTTAAATGAATAAGATGCAGCAGCCTTACTGATCAGTGGCTGTCAGTCCAGAAATAATGGTGGTTTAGTACCCATGGCTTATTCTTCCAAAGAACAAGGAAGTCATTGGGAATAGTACTCAACTCCCCTGTCTGCAGAGGATCTACATCCATCCTTTCCTCCTTCAAAGACCAGAATGGGAGCCTGTGATGTACTCAGCCTTAGACCACGAAACATGAACTTATGTTTTGTGCCATTCCATGGGGCGCACAGACACTGCCCTGCTCTCCGTAGTATTGGTGGTGTCTACCCAGACTACAAATATCAAAAAATTCAAGTGACTGTGTGCTTTTAGAAAATTATATTTGAGGGACAGGGCAGAGGAAAAGAACAGGAAAGAAAAATGCTGAGTGAATGAGTTGGTATCAGGAACCTGTTTTTAAATCTGTCTTTATGAAGCACAAAAAGTTCTTGGCAATCTTTAGAACAGTGCCATTGGTTTTGTCACGTATAAACCCTCTGGTGATCCTCAATTAATCAGCAGGGTCCCTTAACTAGATATCTCTTTATTTAATTACTTTCAATAAATCTATGATCAGTTCTATGCAACCATATGATCCTGGCAGTTTTACTAGTTATAGTTATTAGCAACAATAGTAATGAAAAGAGGGCACTATTATTGTATATTTTTTATGAAAAGCCTGGTGTGTCCCACATATTTCATCTTCACATATTCCCTGAGGCAAATATTACTATCTTCATTTTACAGGTGAGGAAATGGAGGCTTAGAGAGGGCAAATAATTTGCTCCAGGACGTATAGCAAGTAACACAAGAGTGTGTGACTTCAAAGCTAGTCCACTGTGTTAATTATTTATAAATGGCGCTGATTCCTAATGGTTGAATGTGCTTTTTAAAAATCTTAAACCTAAATAGGAACCTAAAAAAAAAAAGGTAAGAAACATTTAGATATCTTGACTTTTTTTTATCAGAACCTCAGACCACCCGAAATGAATTGTATGGTGTTTGAGTTCCATGTTTATAGTGTGCAGAAGTCTGGTCTGAGCAGGAAGCCCACACACAAGAGGCTCAGAGTGCCTCCTTGCCCAGCTCCTCCCATCCCTCCCACATGGACTGCAGGAAGGACATGCACAAGACACAGCTTAGAGGGAGAACTGCCTGTTGTATAAAATCACCACCTTAGAAGGACACACAAAAATAACAAATTATATGTTTCTATCCGGGGGATTACTTCATGCACTGGTTCTCCAGAGTTTTACTGTGAAAACAATAACAATAGCAACTATTCCCCTAAGTCACCTCCCAATTTTCTGCTAGACTATTTGAAATATTAAAAATATACTTGGGATCCCCATTACTGCCACGGGGCACTCTTAAGTGTGCACAGACCCCACACTGGAGGTCATGTCCCTAGTATACAAAACTGGCGGGCTCTCACTCGTTGGGCCTCAGGTAACAGCTGCCCAGGGATGGAGGGAGGAGGACGTGTTGCCAGATGAGATGCTGTGGCGACTCCTGAGACCCTGTGGAGTGGCGTCTGGTGAGTAGTAGTAGTTGCCTCTATTTGCTTTGGAACCCTACTAATTCTTTTTTTTTTTTTTTTTTTTTTTTTTGCGTTTCCAGATGAAACCAGATTCTCTGTCACACCAGAAATCATCTTTGAAGGGGATACGGTAACTCTGGTGTGTGAAACCGACATTCCTTCCTCCAACGTGTCCTGGCACCACGTGGGGAAGCACTCTGACATCCAAAACGGCAGCCGGTTCTGGGTGTACACCACCGTGCTCAACAACCTGACCTCCGTGTCACGCCTCACCGTGTTCAACATCACTCTGGGGGACGCGGGTAGGTGTCTGCCCAGTAACCCACTGGTGGGAGGGAAGGGATGAAGGGCTCAGAGAGAACAGACGTGTAGAGAGCATCTCATCTCCAAAAAGGAGTCACCAGGCTCCACTTTTCCAAATTGAAAATCAAGCCCATGGCATTTCAAGCCAAGCAAATTAGTCTTGGGAGACAAATACAATTTTCCACGTTTACTGAAGCTTAGGAGTTTGGAACCTAACACAAAAAACAGATTTATGCTCTTAATTTTTTAAAATTTAAAATAGCTCTGTTGAGGTAGAATCGACATGTAATAACTGTGCATATTTAAAGTGAACAATTTAATAAGTTTTGATTTATGTGTACCACTGAAACTATCATCCTAATAAGTAGAGTACACATTTCCATCACCTCCCCTCAAAATTTCCTTGTCTTCCATTGCAATCCTTTCTATCTGCCCCTCCTTGCCCCTTTCCCCAGCAACCTCAGAGCACAAGTCTTTTTTATTTTATTTTATTGATTTTTTACAGAGAGGAAGGGAGAGGGAGAGAAAGTCAGAAACATGGATCAGCTGCCTCCTACACACCCCCTACTGGGGATGTGCCCGCAACCAAGTTACATGCCCTTGACTGGAATTGAACCTGGGACCCCTCAGTCAGCAGGCTGACACTCTTTCCACTGAGTCAAACTGTAGGGCTCAGAGTACAAGTCTTAAACCTGACATTCTATAATTGAATAAGTCCAGGAGAGTCCAGAGGCTAACAGGGGATCATTTTCTGTAAATAAAGTTGGGTTGCATTCACCTAGGTCCTACCACATCTTTGTGGATTCTGATTTTGCCAGGGTTCAGTAGAATGCCAGAATTATCCAGTCTTTTCCAAGGCTTTCCAGCTTTTTCCTTCCCACCTCTGTCACCCCCTCACACTTGTTACTTACCAGTAAGTAACAAGTGTGAGATGGCCTTGTGGCATCAGAAGTACCTTCATTGGCCTTCACATCTCCTGAACGTTTCTTCAAGGCTGTTAGACCAAGTCTCAGATGCGTTTGAAAATGATGTTTCTCAAAACACTGTCATGACACATGCCACGAGGCTGTCATTCTAAGTATCAATAGTAATCAACTCCTAGTAACGAATGCTTCCGTGTGTTCCATGCAGGCGAATATATTTGCAAACTGACCATAGATATTTTTGAATATGAGTCCAGAAAAAAGATTAATGTGACCCCCATCCGAATCTTTATCCATGGTGACACGGAGGTGACGTGTGACAACAGCCCCGTGTCTCTGAACTGCTGCAGTGAGATCATTGTGAACTGGAGTAGCGTGGAATGGAAGCAGGAAGGGGAGATAACCATTCCAGGTAAGAATGTCGGGTGCCCTTTCGTGGCCAAGGAAATATGGGCATGCCGTGGGTGGGAAATGCCCAATGGATTTTTTCTTTCTAGACTTCAGACTGTGAAAAATACTAGGTTTGATGCCAGCTCCCGCTTAGCCATTCTAGAACAAAATTCCAAAAATGTATGTGTCATGCTTGGATCATCAAGGCCCTGGTAGAGAAGATCCAAGAGGGAGTGACATGATGACGTAGGTCCATGGAGGCTGCTGCCTAAGGAAAAGCCTTTCCATCTTCAGCACAGAGCGAAGGGTGAGGTCAGCACCTTTGCTTCGGAGTCTGACCTGGAACTTCTCATTTCCATGTCTCTTCTCACTTCTCTGCCTTTGTATCCACAGTTTCTCCCATGTTATCCAATTCTGTGTCTCTGGTTTGTTTGTTTTTTATTTGTTATCTCCCTGTGTAGACCTATTTACCTCTCAGTTGTCTCATGTCCATTTCTGATCCATTTGCTTTCATTTTAGATCTGAGATCTACCTGATGTTCCCCACCCCCCAGTTTACACTGGTGAATGACAATGCTACTACTAATAAATTAAAATAGCAAAACTAACTCTGTTTGCCATAACAGTTTGTGATAAACCAATTAAAACAACAACAACAAACATGTTATTACTTCTAAGCACATTTTAAACTTCAACCACAAGTTGAAAGCTGGAGGGTTTTTTTCCATCCAGTTTTCAAAAAGAAATTGGGGTCCAAATTAAATGACTTAATCACAGTTGTCACAATAGGAAAAGGCAAAGGATTGGGACTCACTTCTAGCCTCCTGTCACAAGACGGGTGTTTATCTGGGCCAAACTCTCTCCCCAGGCCTGGGGGGCCAGCGCTGGGGCGCGCTGACCCGGCAGTTTGCACAGAGGCAGAGATTGCCTTCTGTCTAAAGCCCTCATATAACAATACCCAACCCTCCCCTTCGCAAATGACAGTATTAAGAGTCCATACTCACCCTAAAAAATCATTCCAGTAAAGTGTGGCTTCCCTCATGAAATACATTCGTGATGGTGGAGACTTTATTTTACAAAGCTTTTGCTATCCCTACCCGACTATATTACATTATGAGATATAAAATAACGATTGATTGGCACACACCTCTTCCTGAGCACACCTCTTATGTAAAACCCATCTCAGCTGGTGTTTGTATTTGACTTTAAAGCCCCCAGAAGAATGGGAAAGGCATCTGGTAAGTGCTGAAATGTTGACACTGGTATGCGTAGTCACTTCCTTGATTGTTAAGGAAGAGGAGGTGTGGGCATCCTGAAGGAACTGCCAGCTGGGAGAAAGCGCATGAGCTTTCCAGGATGAGAGGTGAAAAGCGTCGCCCTCTGGCAGACCAGCCAGGAAGTCTGCAGTGCAGATGCTCAGAGACCCCTCCGTGGCCACCACTTCTTCAGACAGTCCCCATGCCCAGTGCAGGCTCAGCCGGCCTCAGAACAATGGGTTTCCTGTCACAGGGCTGGCCGCCTGGGGAGCTGCAGAAATCAGTTCTCTGATGAGTTTAGCCTCTGCTCTGGGTACCCTGCCCTTCCTCCCCCACCCCTCTCTGCAGCAATTTTGCTCCAAGTTCTACAGGTGATTCAGAAGCCATTTTTCCAGGCCAGTAAGAAACAATCTGGCTGACTAATTTCATTCCGAACATTTGGAACAGAATGTGTTACCTCTTCTCAGAAACACACAGTGTTATTTTCAAAACACTCTGGATGAGATAGAAAGAAGTAATCAGCAAAGGAAGGGTTTCTAGCTTTAAGGGGAGAGGGTCTGTTGAATAGGGAGGGATTTCTGTAGTTTTTCAAATCTACAGACATTAACTATGATATTAATAATAATGGTAGCAGAAGTAATACAGTAGCCCCCTTTATCCAAGGGTATACGTCCTAAGACTCCCCCATGGATGCCTGAAACTATGGATAGTACCAAACCCTAGATGTACTGTTTTTCCTTGACATACATATTTACAATAAAGTTTGATTTATAAATTAGGCACAGTAAGAGATTTACAATAATAACTAACAATAGAACAATTATAATACATCGTAATAAAAATTATATAAATATGGTTTCTCTCTAAATATTTAATTGTATTATTACATACAGCATGCATAAGATTTCATCATGTTACTGAGAATGACATGCAATAAAAATTTATGAATTGTTTACTTCTGGATTTTTCCAAAATATTTCTTAATATTTTCAGGCCATGGTTGTCTGCAGGTAACTGAAATAACAGAAAACAAACTACAGATAAGGAGGGACTACTGTAGTATTAATGCTGCTACTACTAGTAGTAATAGCAGAGGTAACAATAGTTATTATTAGCGTGGCTTCCCGTTTTTCTATATCCAACACTAGCTTTGACTGTGTAGGAATGTATTGACAAGTTGGGGAATTGAAGGGCAGCAGAGTTGATAGTGTTACCATAGCTCTTCTTAGGTGGCATGATGGTAAAAAATAGTGAAGTCTAATTCCCTTTGCCCACAAGCTAGAATGGTTCCCAAATGAGTTCATAAACTTCTTCTTGGCCTTGCCTACCCTATTTCCTGGCTCATCTCATGCAGATTACTCATAAAGCAATTGAATCTTTACTAGAGGGTGTCAGCCCCTTCTTGGCTGACTGGCAGACTTGTGACAGCAGGGAGCTCTATCCACTGAGCCAAACAGGTCAGGGCAACAAATCCAATTTTAAATAGTGACTCCTCTTCTTGAAGGAATGCCCACCAAACAGGATTTTTAAAAAAGAAAAAGAAAGAACTTGTGCCAAGTCTTCAATCCTGGAATAATTAGCCCACACCCTGTGCTTTTCAGTAGGACAGTGACTGGTCTCGGGAAGCAGTGATCCCAGTTCAGCCACATGCCCTTGTCCTGCTGCAGGGCAAGTGGGGTGCCTTGTGGACTCCCAGGCCTTTGTCCATTTAATAGTGGTAATGGTACCTACTTTACAAGAGAGGAGAAACACTGAGATGATCAATGTAAAAATTTAAAATAGACTTGAAGTCTACCATAGTAGGTATTTTCTGATCATGACAATAGCTTTAAAAACCAGCCCCTCACTTTTCCTCAGTGTGGTTGGTGGGCAATTTTCATTGAATATGATCTAATCTCGAGCAGCGAATTTGTAATTGCATACCATCTCTTCTCCAGAAAGCACAATACCAACTCATCAGCTGCACTCAGTACCCTCCAGGCAGGATCCCGAGGTGCACAGCCCCAGGGTGTTGTATGAAATACAATGGGAACACTGCCAGTTCAGAGTTCCCACCTTTGTTTTCTGAGTTTGCCATCTCTCTCTCTCTCTCTCTCTCTCTCTCTCTCTCTCTCTCTCTCTCTCGCCTTATCTCCACTTTTTCCCTACAGGGTTCAGCCTCACAGGACTTCTGGTTTTTCCTGAGCAGGCATGCTGCTCATGAGACCAGCATGCTGCTGCTTTTGTGCTTTGGATTCCACCTGTAATGTCTGATTTAACTGTAGAATATTTTCTTGAAGCAAAATCCCTGTGTTTGTCTAACTTGGGGTCTCCCCACCTCAGCACTAGTAACATTTTGGGTCAAAGCATTCTCAGCTGAGAGTATCTGTCCTGTACATTGAAGGGTGTTTAAATACACACTAGATGCCAGGAGAACACCCCAGTTGTGACAGCCGAAAATGTCCCCTAATATTGTCAAGTGTCCCTCCAAAAAGGCAAAATCACCTCTGGTTGAGACCAAATGTCTAATGCATAAAGTAGACCTGAATGGAGCTGCTTGAGTTAGAGAAAGTGTTGGCAGGGGAGGATGCTAGAGACCACATGGCTTATTACCCCCAACTCAGCCCCAACACCTACAGCAGGTTCAGAGAACACCACGTTTTCCAAAGAGTACTGACTCATACACACCTCCAACACACCCTCACTGCACACACCAGAACACCACAGCCACCATTTCCATCCATGTCTTTCAAGGCCTAAAGAAAATCTTCCCGCTCCTCTGAAATCTTCCAAATAAAACTTCCCTCCTTTAATCTTCATACTGTAATTACTTCTCTCTTATGAAACCTATCTACTGGATGTTATAATTATTTCTGTACATATCTTTATATGCCCCATAGTTCATAGCTCATTTTCTTGCACATTAGTTTGGTGAGAAAGCTGGGCTTGAAGGATGAGTAAGAGTCAACAGGAGGAGGGAAGGACAATATTACAGGTGTGAACACACAGGGTATGAAGCCACAGGCATGTTGAAGGACTTGGCCTAGTTTTTAAGAAAGTGATGTAGAATCAGATAAAGAGTGCAGAGGCAGATTGAAAGCATATGTGAATAAACACATATATCACAAGATAAGAATATTTTAGTTTGTAAGATTTAAAGGTAAAAGGAGAGAAGTCAGATGATAGGGGCTGAACTGTAGAAAAATAAAATTTAAAAACTAAAAATAAATTTTGAGGTAGTGTAGCCAATAGATTGAAGGACCAAATAACCAAAAATAAAGATACACTTACAACAGCATGCAGTTGGCAGATAACTGATAATGGGGCCCAGGATAGTGACCATGAGTTGGAGTGGATAAGACAGTTACGAGATGATTTAGTAGTACAACTAATTTTTTTTTACAACTGGTTGGAAGTAGAATATGAGAAAATGCAAGCAACTAAAAATAACCTTAAGATTTTTAATTTTGTGAACTGCCATTGGCAAAGAAAAGACACATGAGAAGATATACAGGCTTTGTCTGGGGAGGAGAAAGATGAGTTCCAGTTGGACACGTTGAATTGGATATACTTCAAATATCCAATTGACACTTGGGAATTCGCTTCTAGAGGTTCCAACAGGAGTGTTTCTCTTTTAAAATGTGTTTAAATTGATTTTTTAGAGAGAGAGGAAGGGAGAGGGAGAGAAAAACATCAGTGTGAGAACAGAATACCAATTGACTGCCTCCTGCACACAACCTACTGGGGATCAGGCTGACAATTCGGATATGTATCTTGACTTGGAATCAGACTCACAACTCGTCGGTGCACGGGAAGACACTCAACCAACTGAGCCACCCTGGCCAGGCTAAGAGTGTTTCTCTTAGAACTAGAGTGGAGAGTCATCCAAATATAGGATATAATAGGAGCCAAGGTGTGGGTGACATTCCCCGGTGAAACAGCAGAGATAAAGATAAGAAAGGGTCAATATCAGAGTGCTTGGGCAAGGCCAATATCCTTGTAAACACCAAGATTTACAAAGGAAACAAAGGCAAGAAGCCTGGGAAGGAAACCCAGAAGGAGGGATGAAGAGAGAAGAGAAGCAGGAGAGGCTGTGGAATTGAGTAGCCACATCACAGAGAAGGTGGTCAGCAGAATGGGTAGCATGAGAAGAAGCCCCTGAGTGTGGGAAAGAGGAAATCACAGGGGGCCTTACAGGAGCACTTTAAGTGGAGAATAAGGGAAAGAAGGGAAATCACCGTGGTTTGATAAAAAGTAGGAGTTGGATGCTAAAGGTGGCAAATGCAGAAGCCTTGTGGGTACGAAGAGAGAATGAAAATGCAGTAATAGCCAGAGAAGCGTCTAGATTAGGAAAGTTATTTTAGAAAGGGAAGACAAGAGCTGGTGCTTAGCATGAAAAGAGCCCAAAGAAAGATTAAAGACATAAGGAAAAGGAGAGTTAAAGGATGGCATAGGGCCTGGGGGAATTGGAAGACACTGATTTGCACAAAAGAAATGGAAGGGTGAGCCATAGAGATAAGTAGGGACACTTGTACCTATGAGCTAGGAGGTAATTTAGTCAAGTGGGTGAAGAGGTCAATTTTGTATTTTGAACAACCATGTGGGAGACAGGAGCAAAGCTGGTTACATATCAATCAAAGTATTTCAAATATCACTGATTACCCAGCCTGGGCTGAACAAGATGCATGTATGCTGGAGCTAATCAGAAGGTTTATTCTTTTTCTTTAATTTTTGGAGGATTGACAGTGTTTGAAGGATGCTTTAGGAGTTCATGACAGTAGGTAATGTCAGAAGAGGAAGAGGGTGTAATAGAAAATATTCACCAGGAGGGTTACAGAGCCATAGGCAAGAAGTAAAGAGGGCTTGGAGGGCATAGCATCTGGGAATGAAAATCAGGGATTGAAGAGGATCTATTTTGAAGGGGAAACAGCTGCTAAGCTGAGAAAGCATGAAGTTAAAGCTTCCAATAAAGCATCTAGACTAATAAGGTGGAAAAAACTATGAAAATGTTTCTCAAACGAGATGAACATCAACTGTTCCAGTCTTGTTTCTTTCTCCTTTCAATAATAATAGTAGTAGTAATAATAATAATAATAATAATAACAACAGTCTAAATAACCTGATTTTTTCTTTCCATTGGAAATCATGTTCAAAGACCTTAATTCTCTTTTTTTATTTTCCACATTCTAACGACTGTCACTAATGGGGCAGGCCCCAGTCAGGCACCATTCTAAATGTGTGTGTGTGTTTTTATTTAAATACTTTATTTTTTAAAAAAATATATATTTTATTGATTTTGTACAGAGAGGAAGGGAGAGAGATAGAGAGTTAGAAACATCGATGAGAGAGAGTCATCGATCAGCTGCCTCTTGCACACCCCCCACTGGGGATATGCCCACAACCAAGGTACATGCTCTTGACCGGAATCGAACCCGGGACCCTTCAGTCCCCAAGCCGACGCTCTATCCATTGAGCCAAACCAGTTTTGGCTAAATACTTTATTGTTTAAAGTATTAATGAGTCTCCTTCTTCCCCCATTGACCTCTCCTCGGCCTGCTTCCACCCCCCAGCACATGCCCTCACCCCCCTACTGTCTGTGCCCATTGGTTATGCTCATCTGCATACATACAAGTCCTTTGGTTGATCTCTTACATCCTCACCCCCCAATCTTCCCTCATAGGTTGGACAGTCTGTTTGATGCTTCTATGTCTCAGGTTCTATTTTTGTTCATCAGTTTATGTTGTTCATTATATTCCACAAATGAGTGAGATCAAGTGTTTTTTATATTAACTTCATTGTACCTAACTGCAATCCTGATCTGTGGTTATTATTATTTCTCCTTAGTTTACATTTGGAGAACCCGAGGCACAGAGCAGTGTCTTGACTTTCTCAACAATGCCCTGCCAGTAATTGCTTGAGGTTGGGATCTGTAGCCAGGCAACCTGGTTCCCAAGTCTACAGGTCTAACCACTACACATCCCTGTCACCTCTCAACTCAAAGAGAAAAAAAAACTAACTTAATGAATAACTCTTTTTCACTGACTCGACCTCCCTGCTACTGACTCAGAGAATCAGCCAACTGTGACAACAAAAGAACTGCTTGTGTCATTGCAGGGAACTCTGAAGCAGACTCAGGTTCCAGCTGCAGCAGGTACACCCTCAGGGCCGATGGGAGTCAGTGTCCCAGCGGGTCCGCCGGGAGGAAAGTCATCTACACGTGTGAGTTCACCAGCTTCCACGGAGCCCGAGGCAGTAAAAGCATAGAAGTGACGTTCACGTCTGTAGGTAAGGACTCTTACTAGCATTTCACCTCAAACCCAGGGCTGCCAATCAACTGAGAATATCCATGAGCCATAAAGCAGGGCCTTCCCTCCCTGGTGGTGGGAGTGCGGTTGGGGCAGAACGGCGAACAGGAGAGGATTTCCCTCTGTGTCATTTCAATTCACACAAAATCTTTAGCATAGGGAAGGGTAGGGGGTGCTGCTGGCTGCAGAGAGGGAACAGCATGCCCTGTGCTGGTGCAGAAAGTGGACCAGGAACTAGTTTCACACTTAGATTAGTTCTATTTAATCTTGAGTTTGCAATGAGTCTAATGCCACTAGTTCCTGCCTTTCCCTTCCATAGTTTCATCCTCCCTCTCTTGAATTCTCCTTCCCTTAGCCTGGCTCATTCTCCACTGCCTTTCCCTCCCTTGACACCTAATCTAGGACGCATGCTTCAGAAAGCTTAACAACCTGATACTTTGAGGGTATTTTATAGTTGTAACAATTTCTTTTCAAAATTTCAATTAATCCAACTTATTTAGGCCCCTTCAAAATATCATTTCTTCTCATATCATAACTTCAGCCCTATCGGCACTAAGAGGGCAGTCCAACTTGTTTTTCCACTCATCTTAGAAAAACGAGCTATGGAGCTAAGTCATGAACAAGTTGGAGAAGGACTTATTTATCAATGGACTTGTTACTCTTGTTCACATTTCCTTTTGTTATGACCTAGCGTTTTTACAAAGAGAGAGGTTAGGTTTATCTGAAAACATGATTGACATGCGTGTATGGGTCTTTTGAGCAAAGTGCAGTTAGTTGTCTGTCGTGAGCTCACTGGTACATGGCACGTCTTCACGCTGGGCCTGTGTCCTTAGGTGAGCTTTGGTTGTCTCAGGGACATGGTTAGCCTCCACTGAAAACCACGGGCCTGGTATTTTGACCTCATCTGAGGATCAAGAGAATGGGATTCAAAGGTCCAGGGGCCTTTTCTGTCTCGTAGAAGCCACTCCCCCTCAGAAAGCTATCCTGAGGTCACTGCAGCCAGGGAGGCACTGCCAGGGACACTTGAATCCCAGCTTCTAAAGGGGACTATGGAGACCCCTGGTTTTTATGATGTGACTGAGGATAAGATTAGACACCAGTTGGAAGAGCAGGCAGCCTCCGTGAGCTCCAGGCACGAACTGTTCATCTAAAGAAGACAGACATGAATGGCATTTTGAAATGTCAACTGTGTAAAAGAATTGCTCCAAGAGCCAGAGGCAAAACTAGTGGGAAGTTTTTATATTTGTAAAGGTCTTGTTAACATCCTCGGTGAATAACTCCTCATGAACCTATGAGGACATTCTCAGAAAGAGGAGTAAATGTAGAGATTTATGGTTAGACTGCCTGTATGGCCCCATTAGCCAGAGACAGTCCTGGGATCCCTTATGCTACTTAACATGTAGCTTCAGAAATCGCTTCTGTTTAGTATGTAGACTCAGTGGTAGGTCTAGGGGTAAAGTGCTGGGGATGCAAAGCCAAAGAAGAGAGTCCTGTTCTTGCGGGGCTCGCGTTTTTATGGAGGACAAATATAGAAAGAAAGAAATAAAAATACAATATGGTGTAACTCAGACACCTGGTGTCCCTTGAGATGTCGTGGAAGAGGTTGGAGGGGAGCTCGGGTTAAGTTAACATCGCTAAGTGCTAAGTTTGCAACCTTTTGCCCTGCTGATCATCAGGACATACATCCAGCCACAAAGGGGAAGTGCGCGAGCACCTAAGGCATGTGATGGAAATGAGTACAGTTCAGAGCACCACCGGGATCAGCCTAGAAACACATAAAGCCCAGGAGCAGCAAGGTACCAATCCCGCATTGACACAGTAGCCAGGACGGTCCACGCTTCCTGTCTCTATCTTAAATTTAACTCGTGTGTTGATGTCACCAGAAAGACTAAACATTGTGCTTGTTGTCGGTTTTCTCTTGTCTGTTTTGTTTGTATTCTTTCAGCCAACTTAACAATAACCCCGGACCCAATTTCTGTTTCTGAGGGACAAAACTTTTCTATAAAGTGCATCAGTGATGTGAGTAACTATGATGAGGTGTATTGGAAAACTTCTGCTGGAATTAAAATATACCAAAGGTTTTACACCGCAAGGAGGTATCCTGATAGAGCGGAGTCAGTGCTGACTGTGAGGAGCTCCACGAGGGAGTGGAACGGTGAGTGAAAAGCCAGTACTACTCTGCTGCCCTGGAAAACATGCTACAGTAGTTCCCATTCCCATTTCATGCAACAGCCCTTCTGGGGAAGATGTCATTATACCCATTTTACAGATATAGAGACTGAGGCTCAGAAAGGATCATAATTATGCCTAAGCCCCTATAGCTTATGTTGTCAAGCTAGGACTGGGACTTGTCTCTCATTTTAGAGCCTGTGCTCTTGCCATGAAGTTAAGAGGATTCTTATTAAAGGTACTTTTATCAAACTTTTGGCAGTGTTTCACCCAATTGTGGCTTTAAAATCTAGGAAAAGGATTTATAGGTCTGGATCCAAAGGAAGGAACATTTTTATTTCCTCTACTTCTCTGTACAATATTCATGTTGGAAAGGTATGCAAATCTTTGGGTGAAAGAGAGAATTGATTAAACTACTGTAATAAAAGCTGACATTTATTGAGCCCTTACTATGTGATAGACACTGTTCTAAGTGTTAAAGTGTATTAATTCACTTAAAACAATAAACTGAGAGGTAATGCTATTATTATCTCCATTTTGCAGATGGAAAAGCTGAGGCTCAGTGAGGTTAACTAAGTTGTCTAAGATTATGCATCTTATAAATAGCAGTGCCAGGGTGAAACTCTGGCTAGTGGCTAATTCTGAACCACTCCACTCTGACGTCTTTCACTAATTATAAGGTTAATCAGCCTAGATTCTGTGAGTCCCCAGTCTTCTTCATTTTTTTTATGAAGACCAGGAAACATTGTAGAAATAGTTATTGCTTGGATGTAGTAAAACATCAGGAAATGAGAGTATTTCTCTCCTATGGTGAACTCACACCTAGTTCTGTCCAAAGTGTTCTTTCCTTCTACAGGGGAATAGCTTAGGAGGAGCCATAGCTTTCCCAGTTACAGTCATTTATTAAACATTCTCATATTCAAGTGCTAAAAAAAACCTAGTCTCACCTAACTCAACTACACTTTCATTTTAATGGAATTTAAATTTTCCTTCCCTCCCAACAGAATTGAAAGGAGTTTCTTCTTGATTTTTGTTCTGCCTGATTTCCCTCCAGTTAGTTGCTTTTCTGGCTTCTCTAAAGATGGGTAAAAGAGAATAAATGTAAAATAAAAACTAAAATAAAATAAAGGATCTTACTAAATTGAAGGTGCTCTTTTTATCTTCCTGTACTGTCCCCATGATAGGTGCTCAAATGGTGGCTCATCCTCTGATGAGCCCTAATACTCAGTGGGAAAGGGTCCTTTCAAGAAATTCAACCCCAGTACTATCCACAGTCCACTCTGCCACTAAAAACTGGGCATGCAGGCTGCTCCCGCTGATGCCTCCCTTTTTACTCCAGCAAGGTCAGCCAGCACCTTACTTCCTTACTTTTAGACTTTTTTAGGTAAGAATGAGACATCAGACATTTAATTCCAGAGTACAGAGGCTGAGCTCTACCAAGAAATATTTCCCTTTCTCTCTCTTTCTCTCTCTCTCTCTCTCTCTCTCTCTCTCTCTCTCTCTCTCTCTCTCTCTCTCTCTCTCTCTCTCTCTCTCTCTCTCTCGTCATGGGCTCCTGGAAACTGAGGAGCCTACTCAGAGATGGAATGAAGGGGCATCACAGTATCACAGTGTTCCATCTGGGTAACAACTCTCTTCAAAGAACTTGCCACCCCAGCACACACCAAATTTCCCATTCATTCTCTGGTTAATGAAAGAGTCTTGGAGTAGGTATTGGGAACCTGTTTTGAAACCTGATTCCCCCAAACAGAGTGTATGGCTTTGGATAAGCCACTTAATTTTATTTGAAAGTAAGCAAATATTTAGGTGGCGCTCAGTTAGTCCTTCAAATACATAGAGAACTCAGGAGAGGAGTCTATCAAGCATTTCCTTACCCACTGTCCAGGAAAGCTTGGCAGGACAGCTAAGTCTCTTCTTAATCTTCTCAGCAAACACCCCTTGGGACTGAATTCCATCTCATTCTTGATTCCTTTCATCCAGGAACCTATCAGTGTGTATTTAGATATATGAATTCATTCAGTGTCGCCACCAAAGATGTCACTGTTCACCCGCTACCTCAAGAGCTGGACATCATGGTTGATCCTTTGGAAGCTTCAATCCCATGCACAGGTTCCCATCCCTTCATGTGCTGCGTGGAGGAGGATGAAGACTACAAAGTCACTTTCCAAGTGGACGCCCTGTCCTTTCCTGCTAGTAAGATGCCAGTTGCTGGGTTGTTAGGACATAATATTTCCTACATGGGGAGTCCAATAGCTTACATTTAAAGTAGACATGGGGATTGCTTCAGAGACCGAACATAACAGAGTGAATTCCAAAAGCCATTATTACCTCCTATTTTGATTTATTATTCTTGGTTTGTGGTAAAATCTCGAGGGTGGAGAGTCTATTTTTGGAGGGAGCCATTGAAGACAGTATTAAGGGACCTTCACAGGTCTTCCACCTCCTCATCATAGCTGACCAGACAATCTGATAGGCACTCCCTCCAAGCTATTAATCAACATACCATAAAAGTACCACAAATCCCCTTAAATGCACAGCTGAGCATGCAAAAAAGGAAGAGATAACCAAGTGCCAAACATAGAGAAAAACTAGAGGTAATGTTTTAGCTAAAGTGGGCTTCCTTGAGAGCATCTGCCAATATAAGAAACCCAGAAACGTGGCTTTGAAGGCTCTGGAGGCCATGGAAGGAAAGGTCTTCCTCCCTATGCAGTAGCTAAGGCACCTTAGCCCACCAGCCCAATGCCAGGCCCTTAAAAGGCGATTTGTGCATTAAAAAAAATAAACTAGAAAAGCAAAATTCACCTGCCAGAGTTAAGAACTTAGCCTCCTCTCTAGGCAAGTAAAAACTTTCCCTGAGAATTATAACTGCCTTGCCCTCATTTGGTTTGAATTTATACTACCTATGTGGTACTGAAGAGGTGAAATGGTCCTTTGGTAGCACCCTATGGCGCTTGGTAAAAAAAATAAATAAAATAAAATAAAATAAAAGAAATCAAATCCTCTCTAGTAGAATGTACCATCACTCAAGATCCCTCAGGACTCCTACAAATGAAGGTCAAGCAAATATGAACTCACACCCCCAAATGTCAAAACACAGACACCATCATTAGCAATTTATATTTACTCTTTCAAGAATTATTCTTGAAGACTTGCTCAATGCAAAACATTTAAGTAGGCCATGAAAAGGAGAAAACATAGTTAGGGTACATGCATTAATATGTAAACAAGCTCAGGTCATAAAAGGTAATGCATATAACATTAAATATCCAAATGAACAATATAGATCAAAAGAACACTGGAAGTTCAGAAAAGCAGGGACCAAGAGAATCTGGAAAGTTTAGAGAAGGTTGCATGGTATCCATCTGGAATCAATCTGGATATTTAAACATTCTGTGTTTCACATGCTTATATCCAGTGCTCTCTCAATGTGCCAAACACTGCACCAGACCCTGGCAGGGATGTGGAAAGAAAAATAAAACCAGCTACCTTCTCTTCAAGACCTCATGGTCTAATGGAGGAGACAGATCCATAAAAAGGCAGCTCTCAACCAACATGGTGAAGGCAAGACAGGATAAAGGCTCAGGACCTGCTGAGATTTATATAAGGCATTCTGAAAGGCATTCTACTTCTCCCAAACTGTATGGGCACAGAATGGTGAGGTTTGGCTGGCATGCATGCAAATGTGGGCTTGCTTACTTGTAGGCTGGAGGCATTTAAAAAAACACATTAAAAACCAATATGGCACATTCCTGGGGAAATGTTGCACAAGTCATTTTAACAAAATGTGTGCTCTGGAGATTCATGTTGTGACTTAATTCTTTCAATCATTCTGCCTTAGCAAAAGAAGTTCATGGAAAGCAAGTGTGTTACAAATTCAATTTCATGGCAAAATCAATAGTTTCCTGGTGCCCAAAACATGTTGACGTGTTCTGTCACTTCACCAATGCCGCTAATAATTCAGTCCGGAGTCGGTCTATGAAGCTGAATCTGGTGCCTGGTGAGAGCATTTTCAATTATTTTAAAGTGTTATACTCATGAGCAGGAATTTATTGATTTATTCATTCCCTCATTCATCCATTCAATAATATATGTTGAGCATCTTCCTATGGCAAGCCTTAAGCTAAGCAAAAGGGATTTAAAAAGAAATAAACCACGTTTTCTAGCTCCATGCTTGGGGAGAAGAGAGATGTGGTCAAGAATGTAAGTTCTAAACTTGACTGTGTGGTGGCCAGAAAAGGCTGCCTGGTGAGACAGGTGGGAAGGATGTGATTAAGAAAATCTTGCAGATGAAGTCATATTTCAGCTGAGTCTGGGAGGCTACACATTGCAGAGGACAGATACGTGCCTGAATTCCAGCCGGAGAGATTCTCATTTACTTGGGCTGTAGTGAGCCTGGACATTGGTATTTTCTGAGCTCTCCAGGTGATTTTAAGAGGCCAGAATTGAGAATCCCTTGGGTGAAGGCATTATATTCCTAAGGCGCCTAGAAATTTGAATATCTCTTATTAGATGAGCCCCTATGAAGCTGTCATTATTTCCCATGGCCTAGGTAGTCAAGGTAGCAGAGAGAAGTTTCCCGGGGACTGGAGGTGGGAAATAAATTCTGTTAGGAAAAGCAAGGGAAGATTAAACTCATATGTGTACAGAAAGCACTAAGAGGCTTTGGAAAGCCAGGGACAAAATAAAGACCTGGCTACCTGCAAAAAAATCACTGAAAGTAAAGGGAAAAATGAATTCAAACATCAAAATTCTACCTGAGCCAGACCCCATTTCCACTTTCTTTTCTCCTCCTTTCAGTTGTCCATTTTGTCTCCATGTTTCCAATGCAGGAGAGAGCATCACATGTCGAGATCCCATAATAGGTGTGGGGGAGCCTGGGAAAGTGATCCCGAAGCTCTGCCGGTTCTCGAACCTGTCCATTAGCTCTGCTAGTCCTGTTGGAGGGATCAAGATCTACAAATGCGTGGGCTCCCGTTGGGAGGTGAAGAAAAGTGACTGCATCTCTGCCCCAATAAACAGTCTGCTCCAGTTGGCCAAGGTGATCCTCAAACCTTTAACTCTGAGCTCTTAGTGGGGTCATCTGTCTAGCTTATGTCTCAGCACTAAGGAAAATGGGCTTTGGGCTGGTTTGTGTTGCTCTCAAAACTACTTGTATTTGTTTCTTAAAAAAAAAAAAAAAAAAAAAAAAAAAAAAAAAGACAAATCCAGAAGTGCTTACAAATTGTTTTAAATACAAATTTCAAGGTAACAAAATATGTGTTTTGCCTTAAAATCAGCTATATACCTTTACCTTGTCTTCTCAGTACCTTTTGTTCATTGCCTGCAAGGGATAGGTAGTATTATCCTCACTACCTGCTTTCCTTTAAATAATTTCTATAGTAAGCAAATAGTCCTGATATTTTAAGAAAGAGGAGCAACATAAACAAGTAAAATTGACCACTGCAAAAAAAAAAAAAAAAAAAAAAAAAAAAAAAAAAGTTGGGCTTTATACTTTATAGGTCTGAGATTTTCTCAATCCTTAGAGGTAACCAGTAGTTACAGAAGAAGGGACTAGCCTGTCTCTCTTACCTAGAATAGAGGTTACTGTCACGTGGTAAGGGAAAATTCCTTTCTTTCCATCAAAATAGATAAACACCACCTCATACTTAAGTCATTGAGAGTTAGAGACTGCCAAAATTCCATGAATTACAATAAATAAATACTGATGAGGCAACTAGTAGGGTTATAGCAGATGATGACATCTTCAGACAATTGGTTCCAAAATCCTCTCAACCTTAGAGGGAGAATTAAGAAAAAGAGGTGATATTGACTTATGTTTTATCTAATTTTATCTGTTTCTCCTCTTGTCTTATACCAAATTCATTAAAAATGCCTACTATGTATAAAACATTCTTATAGATGCTATCAGGGTGAAGAGGCCAAATGTGACTTGATAGATAATATGACAATAAATATATATTAATTTTGGGTAGGAGAATCAGGAAGTGCTGCTTGAAAAACTTGGCATCTGACTTGGCCTGTGATGGACAAAGCATTGGAGATATAAAGTATCCTAATTGAGAAAGATAGAAAGTATAATTTGAACTTGACATTGGGCCATGTCGAGTTCAAATTATACTCGACATGGCCTAATCTACCAATTCTAGATACCTGGATACATTGTCAATGGAAAAGAGGCATGCTGACCTATCATGTTCCATTGATTTATCCATTCAACATATACCGTTGAAAACCTACTGTGTGCCAATTCAGATGACTGTACTATGTTAGATATTATGGGATATGAGAAGAACAAGAAGAAATATAACTTATTTTTCACATTGTTACGGAGCTTATAATTCAATTGGAGACATTGAAATTAGAATACAAGATGACATTCATAGAGATATCACAAATGTAAAGTATACTAAGATGAATACTGATGCATTCAAAGGAATAAATTTCCATGTTGTAACACTCATCCAAGTTCTTCATAGAGAAGATCTAACCTGAGTTAATTCTTTAATTTTAAGTATGAGTTAGATAGAAAACACAAGTGTGATGATTGCAGATAGGGTGACAATATCGTTTATCATAGAGACCTGGACACTTTTAGAAAATAAAAGAGGGTCTGTTAGTAATTACATGGTTACAGAAGATATATGCCAGAACTATTGCAGGAAAATTGTGACAGTCACCCAACAGAGGAAATGATTATAAAAAGGAGAGCACAGCCAATGTGCTTCCATTCGGGCCATCTAAGTATCCGTTTTATTCAACTTTAATCTAGTTCTTTAACACTCACACCTGTTTTTCCTTCCCCCCAATCAGTCATCAGGTTGACATATGTTTTTCTGTTCTCCTATGTGTGAGGTCTTATGTAATATCCCATTCTGAAGGGCACACACAATTTAAGAGAAAGTACGTTATTTTATGAGATATACTCATGGGAATGGATAAAAAAGAAAATTATGAATAGGAAAGATTTTGTCATGGATGGATCAGCACAATTTAATGACCAAATTGATTGACAAGTGTTTTGTTGGTTTGTGTTGGCTTTTGTGTTGCCAGGCTTTGAGCAAGAGCCCCTCTCAGGACAAGAAGCTGCCTACATACCTGAAGGACCTTTCTGTCAGCACAGACAAGGTGGCACATGAAGTCAGCTCATTTCCGGGGAACCTGGGAGCAGTTGTTAACATCCTTGATTTGCTCTCAACAGTTCCAATCCAAGTGAATTCAGAAATGATGATGGTGAGTTTGTTTAAACCTTGCAAGTGTTTGGGGGTCTTATCTTTTCACCCCTCAGGACTGTGGTCAAGAAAGATAACACCTCTCCATTATAGCTTCTTCTCCAGCATTTCCAGAGCAGTGTCCTAGTTATGAGAGTCACATAACATGCTCTGCTACCTATGGCTTTTAGGGTAGCAGGGGTATTTCCTATATTCATTTTGGTACATTAGGAAGATTTCTTTAGTGAATCTCTTTAATATCTTCATTAAAATAGAATGAATTGTTATCTTCTTTCTAGGAAAAGTAGGAATTAAAGGCTTTCAGTATAGGATGCTCAAAGGTCTAGCACTAAACTTTGAAGCAGTCAGGGTTCTGGGAGGAAAGAGAATTCACCTGCAAAAATGGTGATGAAGACACTTGAATGAAAGATTGTTTCAAGACATAAAGCCAGGATTTAAAAAAAGAAAAAGAAAAAAGGGGGGGGGGGTGTGGTTTGAGATATTCAGGGACCAGCAACATTTAGGAGCCTTTACTACCCCTGGGACTGAAGGAGAAAGAGGAAACAGTGTACCCACAGCTGACTGAGAGCTGAATCCCTGGAGGAGGGCTCACTCAGCAAAAGCTATAGTCTCAGAGGGACATAGCTATTGCCAAAGATGTGCTTAGATGGTGTGGATGGGGGAGTGGGGTACAGTGGGTAGTAGAAAAATCTATTTTAACTTTTTCCTTCTCCCACCATCCTGTCCGCTGCTAGTGCTTCCCACTGGCCAACTGGCAAGCAGTTTGGGTAATAAGAGTTTAAGGAGATTATACAGATTTCCTAGGGCTGCTATTCCAAATTGCCACAAACTTGGATGGCTTACAATGACAGAAATTTTTTATTCCAGGGTTTTTAAGGGTAGAAGTCCAAACTCACTGTGTCTGCAGGGCCATGTTCTCTCCAAATGCTCTAGGGGAGGAGAGAGAGTCTTCCCTTGCCTCTTCCAGATTTAGTAGCACTAGGCTATCTTTGGCTTGTGGCTCCCTCCTCCTAATCTCTGACTTGCTCTTCACAAAACCTTCTCTGCTCCATTTATCTTCTCCTTTTCTATCTCTTATATGGATAATTGTCATTGGATTTAGGGCTCACCTAGGTAATTCAGGATGATTTCCTATCAAGATCCTTATCTGAATTATATCTATGAAGACCCTTTCTCTAGCTAAGGTCACATCCTATACACAGGGTCTGTGTATAGAACATGTCACTTTTGGGGCCACTAGCCGACTAACTATAGGGGGCTCATAGTTTCAGAGAACAAAAAGCAAAAGAGCGTAGAGAAATTACATTGAGAGAAGGCATACACGGAAAATGACAAGCCCAAGTTTACAAGAGAATCAAAATGTTTAGCAAAAACAGAAAGATGCTTTTGACAACAACAGCATTGCTCATTTGATGCTCAGCATTTGAGAGGGTCTTTTGTGACTACCTTGTGGGTGAAATACCAGCCATCAAAAAGCCTTTAGAAGCCTGAGGTTAAAGATAAAATAAATTAATTAATGAAGATCTCTGGTAGCCTACTAAATTGGCCTTAGGGAGTGGTTGAGGGTGGTTCTCACTGTCACTATTGCTGAATGCTTACATCTCAGTCTTGGAGACCAACCCATCCTTTGCTAACTCCCTGCCATAGGAAGGGGGTTCCCAGGTCTCCACAGCCTGTGATGCCTCCTTTTCCTCTTCTTGTTTCCTCTTACTCATACCCACTCCATCAGTTTCCAAAGATACTTTTTTCTCTTGTATAATTGAAATAATTTGTTTGATTTGATCCCATGTCATGTCAATTACAGGACATTCTCTCTACACTCAATGTCATCCTTGACAAGCCCATTCTCAGTACGTGGAAGGTGTTACAACAGCAACAGACCAACCACAGCTCACAGCTACTAGATTCTGTGGAGAGATTTTCCCGAGCATTACGGTCAAAAGATAGCACCGTCTTGTCCATCTTGCACACTAACGTGCAGATGAGGGGCATGGTAATAAAATCTGGCTCTCCACAACCTTACGAACAGAAGTTCATTTTCTCAGACTCTGGCCTCTGGGGCAATGTGGCTATTAACGAGCGCCACGTGGAGAATCTGCAGCCAGACACATCTATTGTCACCGTGGCTTTCCCAACTCTCAAAACCATCCTCGCTCAGGATACTCAGGGCAAGCATTCTGCAAACAGCTTAGTGATGACAACCACTGTCAGCCATAAAATAACCGCTCCATTCAGGATTTCAATGGCTTTTAAGAACAACAACTTCTTAGGTGGGAAACCACAATGTGTCTTCTGGAACTTCAGCCTCGCCAACTATACAGGAGGGTGGGATAGCAGTGGGTGCTATATGGAAGTCGATGGGGACAGTGTCAACTGCACCTGTGACCACCTGACGTCATTCTCCATCCTCATGTCTCCTGACTCCCCAGACCCTGATTCTCTCCTGAAAGTACTGTTGGATATCATTTCCTACATTGGCTTGTGCTTTTCCATCCTGAGCTTAGCAGCCTGTCTAGTTGTGGAAGCTGTGGTATGGAAGTCCGTGACCAAGAATCGGACTTCCTATATGCGTCACATCTGCATAGTGAACATTGCAGCATCCCTTCTGGTTGCTGACATCTGGTTCATTGTGGCCTCCACCATCCGGGACCATCACTACGTACTCAACGAGACAGCCTGTGTGGCTGCCACCTTCTTCATCCACTTCTTCTACCTCAGCGTCTTTTTCTGGATGCTGACTCTGGGCCTCATGCTCTTCTACCGCCTGGTTTTCATCCTGCATGATTCAAGCAAATCCATTCAGAAGACTATTGCATTTTCTCTCGGCTATGGATGCCCTCTTATCATCTCAGTCATCACAGTGGGTGCCACTCAGCCTAGGGAAGTCTACACGAGGAAGAATGCCTGTTGGCTCAACTGGGAGGACACCAAGGCTCTGCTGGCCTTTGTCATCCCAGCCCTGATCATCGTGGTGGTGAACATGACCATCACCGTTGTGGTCATCACCAAGATCCTGAGACCTTCCATTGGAGACAAGCCCAACAAGCAGGAGAAGAACAGCTTATTTCAGATCACCAAGAGCATTGGGGTCCTCACACCACTCTTGGGGCTCACCTGGGGTTTTGGCCTCGCCACTGTGTTCGAGGGAAGCAATGCTGTGTTCCATATTGTGTTTACCCTCCTCAATGCCTTCCAGGTAAGTTCTGAAGTGCCAGTCTCACAGGAAGTATCTAGGCAGGTGGGACAAGTTAATGACAGAAACACAAACAGAAGTGGGAATGGGGAAGGATTTTAGTTCAGAGGAAGACCTAGCCCTAAAGAGCAGCAATCACAAGAACTCAATAAGGTAGAAAGGACACGTTCCTCTGTTCCCATGGAACCTCATACCTCTTATCACCTGAATTATAATTGAGTTGCACATGTGACTCTCTTAGAAATGTCCTGGTAGTACAAGTAGGAGGAGAGTCCCTTCCCTACACTGGATTTTGCTATTTACCCAACATTATCTTGATGCTATCTATTATCTTCTAAAAGAAAAAATCCTCTATTAAACCAAGTAATCACTGCAGTTAATTTCCATAAACATTAAATGAGATTGCTCTTTGAGAGGTCAGGGACAGCATTTGACTTATCTATCATTATATCCCTGGTGCCTAAAAATGACCTTGGCCCAAATTATGTGCTCAAATTAACCAGTTGACAAATGAAATGAATGCTATGTACCACATAGAATGTTCTCTGGAAGCACTTGCTGAAGAACAAAAGAAATAATGTCTTATGTAAGGTGGACATTCTATTCTATTATACTAAAATGGAAAAAGATGCCCTCTTCCTCTCCTGCAGTGCATAACTCATTATAATACAAGCCGATGGGTTAGCAAAGCTTCAGCCAAGGTACAGATAACAAGCCTTTGAAGCACAAGGAAGGAAATACTTCATTCTGATCTCACATGTGGGTGGGTAGGAAACACAGGCCCCCATGAGCTGGTGAGGAGGTCGGAGGTCTGGAGGGGAAGTTGAGACAACACCCCCAGATGCTTATACCAGGACTATGCAAATTCTAATTTCTGCTATTGGGCCCAAGGCTTCAAATTATAAAGCTCATGTCTGCTGACATTTGTAATATGCCTTGACTAGAAGGAACTGATTATTTCACTCCATGGCCCAGGTCCTCGTCGTAACTATGTGAGGGCTACTGTAGCATAAGAGATATGTCTAATAGCGTAACCAGCAGGACCTCCACTTCACAATGGAGGGGAAGTAAGGAAATAGAAAATACCCTGATAACATAAAAGCATTTAAAGTCCCTGGTGTGGACCTACTGCATCTCTCTTAATGTCATCTACTGGGCTCACTCCATAAACCCAGGTGTGGGAAGAGGTAGTACAAATTCAATTTCAGGTTAGCAATACTTTCTATTTTGTGGGACAATAAAATATAATTGAAATGCACTTCCTCCCAATTTTTTTTTTTTTCAGGGATTATTCATTTTGCTCTTTGGATGCCTCTGGGACCAGAAGGTAAGAACATGACAATTTCATGCTCCTGGAAAAGTCCAAGGTGCTCGTGGCAAGTAGAATTTATGGTGGCTTTTTGTTGTTGTTATGAAAAATGCAGGTACAGGAAGCTTTGCTGAAAAAGTTTTCTCTGTCAAGATGGTCTTCACAGCACTCAAAGGTAACTCTTTCCTTTGTAGAGACTTTTGAAAAACCCTCTCCACAACTCGTTTTAGCATAGATGATCCCAATGTTTTTGGTTCTCTCCTGATTCAACCTATTACACACACTATGAACCATCATTAAGAAACTGTCCTCACATCTTTAAATGGGGACAAATAGCACAGATAATGTCAACTGAAAGTTAAAATCAAATTTTTATTTTCAATGAGAAATAAACAGGGAGAGTCTGATGAGAGGGCAGTGGAAAACACAATTTGAGAAATAATAATAAATAGAATTTTCTGTAATTCGTTTTGGAAAATAACAATTGCACTTAAATATATTTCTCTGTTTCCACCTGTCAGAAGATACCAAACTCTATAACAATAAAATTTTTTGAAAGTTATTTTCCTAATACCGGTGATGATATTCCAGTGTCTCATGGTGCTCCTGCTTGACTGGTTTTAAGGAGAAATGCATGCTTATCCGCTTATCCCTGCTCTCACCTTGAAGTGGCATGAGAGATATTCAGACAGTGACCACTAGAGGGCAGCAAGTGAATCCTACTAGAGATACAGGAGGGCCTTGGTCTAACACATTTGCATGTAATTGTCTTTTTTTTTTCTTTCCTCATTTCTAGTCAACATCCCTAGGTTCGTCAACACCTGTGTTTTCTATGAGTTCTCCAATATCAAGAAGATTTAACAATTTGTTTGGTAAAACAGGTACGTAGTGACCCCTAGATGCTCCCTGGGTTGATCCAAACAAAGTGCTCTGATGGGGAGACTCAAACCCCTGCTTTCCCAGTCCCTACACATGGCATTTACTATACAATGGCCTCATTGTGGGTAGAGGTTAAACACAGGAACTTGTTTAGATTTTCCCAAACCACCAGGAGGCTGGTGAAGGGTAACTTCCTTCAGTGGGAAAACTAATAACTTATGAGGAGTAAGATTGGGAGAATGTAGAAAAGTCTGCAGACAGCTGTCTGTCAAAAGGGTATCAACCCTACCAATGGGGACTGTGAACTGCCCACCTTGTCAAACACAGACCACTCTTCTATTCCTGTGAAATGCAACTAGGTGGATCATATTTCTAGGCTGTGGTCCAGCAGAGACTATGTTCAGAAAAGCATATTATAGAAGCCCATGCACTGGGTTCCTTTTTGCTTTTTTGCTTTTTTTCTTTTGGAAAGTGCATGTTTTACACATTGACCTTTATGAAAGTACACATACATGTAAGAGGGATCCCCAAGTCAGCTATGCTATCAGAAACATGCACAGGTAAGTGTCCACCTTGGAGGCTCACAATAAACAATATTCACGGCTTTGGGCAATGAGCCTCAGCTATTTGGCAAGTTGAAACTCTGTGCCATGCCACGACGGTCTCCATGAACATTAGCAGCACAATTCCTTCCAGCTTCTTGTAACCAACCAGTTCTCACAAATGTGGTGTTTCAGATTTCAGTTTGAGGCGTTACACGAAACGGGAGGGCGTTCCCTTTTGATTTTGAAGGTTCATGAACTGGACCTGCTGAGAAGGGACGAGGCCCTCAGGGGGTGTTAGCACTGTTGCACTTGACCATCACTGTCGCCAGAATGTGTTTGCCCTTTGCTTTAAAGTGAAACTAGTGAAAAGTCTATGCAATGATTCCACGTAACATGGAAGGCCAAGAAAAGCTGTCGGTTGTTTCTGAATCACACAGACCAAACTTGGACTTGGAGCTGTTCCCGAGGTCCCGGGGCCTTGGATTCCCCATCATTGCCACTTGGTAGCCTCTCGGGACAGAAATGCAGCTCCCGATGACCTCATGGAGGGGTTCATAATCACTGTGACTTTGGTTTATGTTGCCAGCAGCCCCACAGGGGCCCCCAAGCAGTGATGGAAACCTTGTTAGCAGTGGCAGTTCACCAAACTGATGGTAGGGTGGCCACTGTGTCCCTTCCCTTGCTCGACACTTGTCCCCTCCTCTCCCCATGCTTAGTCCCAGCTTCCTGCTGACACAGCCTGTGTGGTGGCTCCTGGTGCCCTCCCTGCTGCACTCGCTCTCCGCACTTCCGGTAGCATCCCCTGGCGTCTCCTCTTTCCTGGTCTTGCTTCTTCTTCCCCTGCAGTTTTCTCTTTTCTTCCCATCTCTCACTTTCCCCCATCTCCTTCAACTCAGCTTCCAGGCCCTTCCCAAGAGCTTCCCAAGTCACCCCAATCCAAGGGGACCAGGAGGTTTCCTCCCAGGGATGTCCCATGCATGTGGTGGCATGTGGAGGGCTGCCCATGTGGAGACGGCTCTGTCCTCTGTAGAAATCTGGCTGCTGGTGTGATGGGAAGTAGTTAGTGCTTGTCTTGTCGGCTGCCACGCACGCTTGAGAATGACAGTTTTGTCTGTTCTCGGGCACTGAGGAGGGCGGCACGGGTTTGATTCTGGCACGGCGAGCTTACCTGGCTCTTGGACTAGAGCTCCCCCTCGGGCCTTTAGAAAAGGCCCTCTTCTCCCGCCACGTGACCACCCAGGCCGGGCTTTTGGGCTGAGCTGCTGTTCTTTGTTTCAGGAACCTACAATGTTTCCACCCCGGAAACAACCAGCTCATCCTTGGAAAACACGTCCAGTGCTTATTCGTTGCTCAACTAAGAACAGGAGAATCCAACCCATGTGACTCTCGGGGAACAGTGACTGCGCTCCGAAAAAGAGATCCTTTCCAAGCCCTGAGTAATGCATCCCTCGCAGGCTTCTGGGAGCTGATGCCCAAGAGACTGTTCCAGTAGGGAAGAGCCTTTCTTTTGTAAAGACGGACGAAAAGTAATTGTTCCATTTATTTTTGCTGCCCCACCCCCACCCACCCTTTGTGTGATACCAAATGTGTATAGTATTTAAGTGAAACTCAGTTTTCCCAAAGCCCAGCTATCTGTCTATATTGTAAAATAGAATTTCAAAGAGACATTCTCACTTTTCACATGTTGGTCACAAAGATAAGCTTTCATTAAAATAATAAGTAAAAATGCTAGTACCTAGGAAATACTTCAGTGAATTCAAGCAAGGAAGGAAGGAAGGAAGGAAGGAAGGAAGGGAGGGAGGAAGGAAGGGAGGAAGGAAGGAAGGGAGGAAGGAAGGAAGGGAGGGAGGGAGGAAGGGAGGGAGGGAGGAAGGGAGGGAGGGAGGGAGGGAGGGAGGGAGGGAGGGAGGAAAGGAGGAAGGAAGGGAGGGAGGGAGTGAGGGAGGAAGAAAGGGAGGATAAAAACAACATTAAGAGCCACATTTTAATATTTCCATGTTCATGATCTAAAACAATTACTAGACAATGCAACATTGAGAATTAAAAAGTGGCTCAAAAATGCAAACTGAAAGAAAGTCATAGGGAAAGTTTAATTCCTCTTTGGTATTTTCTTAGCAAAGTGGGGGGCGCAGGGAGAGAATTAAGGGCAAAAAATAAAGAGAAAATTACATCATCAGGATGCTTTCAAGTGGATAATAATATTGACCAGAAATTGTATAGAAGGAGATATGATCCTACACATCTATTTTTTAATATATTTTTTGCATTTAAGGTTTGAGCTAAGTGGAATGAATATGCAAAGAAATTGTAATAACCATCCTTTATCTGATCCAAGCAAGTCCAACTGCTGATTACATTTTTATAGTTTATAGTTTTTTAATAGCTTATCAGAAAAGTCTTATGTTTTGGTTTTGTTCCACATCTTGAAAGCAAAAATAAAAAAGCGTATTTTTTATGCATTAATTGCCAAATGTGATATATTGCACTGAAAACAGATCCCAACTGTCCTATATTATATGTATAACAGCTTCCAGGTACTTCTCTGTGCATTATAGACTAGATCTTAATAATCTACAGCACTGTTTATTACTGTTATTGTTACTGTGGATCTATTGGGCTTTGGTGTATTGTGTAGCTCTCTTTGTATTAACTCTCTCAGTCTTTAAGTCTCCAGACCAATATACGTGTAGAGTTTTGTACAGTGTAACTTGTGTTCATTCCAACCACTTGGAAACCTTCCGGAAAGTTCTACAGCTGGCTAGTCCAAGCTCTCACTGACACTTCCTCTTGATGAACAGATGGTGGAGGTTTTCCAAAGAATTTGTTTATTGTGATTTGTGAGTGTGTGTGTGCCTTTCTTACAAATACAAATATTTATTAAATTTGCATCCATATTAAAGTCAACCATGTGCTGCAGCTACAGCAACCATGTATTCCAACCAAAGTCATAATGAGTCAATAAAACGTGGGACTCCCTGGGAAATAGGGCCCAGGGGCTCCTCATTCGGACCAAGGACCTGCCCACCAGAAAGATAGGACAAAAGGGGCTGAGAAACAACAACCATTAGTTTATCAAGGTTCAAAAGAGTTTTCTTTTAATATTTTAACTCATTAAAAATATCTTCCTTTTAATTCTAAAGTTTATCCTGGCTTTCTTTTCTTCATGGGGAGTGGGGGCAGGTGGAATAGATAAAAATATTAACATTGTTCAAAGTAAATGAACTCTTTATTTCTACATATTCACAAATGGCCTAGACATCGAGTCCCACGTTTGTTGAATGTTGTCACCTCATTATTGCAATGGAATAATTCATTATTTAAAGCCCCTAAGGGAAATGACCATCAATCAGGCTACACCATTCTCCAGAGCACGATCAACTGTGGGCAGGGCTCAGTCCTGACAAGTTGGAGGACCTGCTGAAGTAGAATGAGACATTAGGGAAAGACCGGCTTTGGCTGATCGGGTGCCTGGGGTTTTATCAGGGAGAACAGAGGCAGAGGTACCACTGTATTAGCAAGGCCATCTTGACACGACCAGCCAAGGAAAGCAGAGAGCTGGCGAGGAGGCTGTGGTTCACATGTTCAAAAACACAATGGGGCCAGAAACACTGAGTTCCAGCCACTTCTGCAGGGCTCCTTTGGGAATCATTGAGTTCGATGTTGTGAAAGGAACCTCTGTAATGGCAGGAACCTTTGGCAGCGTTCCATAGAATGTGCATCTGGCCATCTGCCCACATTCGTTAACTGAGGCACGTTCCCTCACCACACACACACACACACACACACACACACACACACACACTCCCAAGGCGTGCATGTGCCTCCCACCTCATGAGCCACAGCACTGGATGCAAATTCCAGAAAAGCCATGTAAATAAAAAGTTGGAGAAATAAATTTTGGTTTTCTCTCCCACCTGCAAGATACATAGTTCAAGCCCTGCTCTTGGCCAAGAGTATCCTAAACTGACCAGTAGAATTCAAAGCTATAAAGGAGCGCACCCATGAATCTGTAACTGTATGAATGTGAGTAATTAATATAAACTACAGAAATATTCTTTGGGAAGATTGTAAGTCCAGTGTGACACATCGTATCTCTTTTTATCTTTTCTATGAAATGTATTGGGGTGACACTGGTTAACAAAATTATGCAGGTTTCAGGTGCACAATTCCACAACACATCATCTGTACACTGTATTTATTGTGTGTTCACCACTCAAGTCAAGTCTCTGTCCATCACCATGTATCTTCCCATACCCTCCTTCACCTCCCCCATCCCCATCACGTCACCTCTTGAATGAGTCACATGTTCACCATCCTTTTCCCTGTTTCTTATTGTTTGTGTGGACAAAGAAAGGAATGAAGCATTCATGGATTGTTTAGGAGTTGGTTGCTCTGGCCAGAAATGAAGTAACACAGTGGGAAATCACAACCTTTGTGGTTTGTGTAAAGAACTTCAGAGGGGCTTGTGTTGGAAGGTTAAAGAAAAGGCTGTGAAGAGAAGAGAAAGATGATAGCAACCAGTACGTGCAGATGCAGGGGCGGAGTTACTCTGAGGGAAGTAGAACAGGAAGTCACAACCATTTGAGAAGAGGAAATAGGGGTGGTCGTGGAAATGCCATGTGGGTGGAATGCATTTCATGTGAGGCGTGTGATGGTAATGTCACATGACTTCAGCATCCCGAAGGGACAGTCAATGACTCAGGCCAACAGGAACCGGATTCCCCGAGTGTGCAAAATAGATGAGGGGCTTACGTTCTCTCTTATGTATTTTCTTTTAAGTCAATGAATATTGTCTCATCATTTCAAAGATGTTAGCTTTGAAATGAGGTGCTATAGATTTATAAAATTGGAATTTAGGATTTAAAATCTTGTCTTAGTATGCCAGCACACAGTTCTGTTTTCCTTTCATGCTTATAACAATAAAATATTTTACAAGAGCTGGTAAAATACATAAGTTGTCTGCTCTTTTTAAAAAAATATATTTTATTGATTTTGTACAGGGAGGAAGTGAGAGAGATAGAGTTAGAAACATTGATGAGAGAGAGTTATTGATCAGCTGCCTCTTGCACATCCCCCACTGGAGATATGCCTGCAACCAAGGTACATGCCCTTGACCGGAATCGAACCCGGGACCCTTCAGTCCCCAAGCCGATGCTCTATCCATTGAGCCAAACCGGTTTCAGCAGTTATCTGCTCTTTTGCAACGTTTACTTTTGCTGTTGCTGTTTCAGGCATTGTCCGCCATGTCAGCCACAATTTAACTCCATTATCCGCACAATGAATGATCCCTTCCATTTCCCAGGCAGGGGAGGAACAGGAGGATGTGGTGCCTGAAGCTCAACCACTGAGCTCAGCTGACGGGCAGTGCTGATGCTTCTCCTCGCACCATCCACACCTCCACTCAGCATGTGGAGCCCAGAAGCTTACAGAGGGTTTAAACAGGGGTCCTTGAAGTACAGCTTTTTTAGGACCTAACTTTGTGGGAAACAAACAAACAAATGTTTGTGGTAACTTTTGTGTGTGGTCTGGCTGGAGCCCTCATGGACAGCTGAAACAGAACCCTGGGAGTTGTTGGCCATAGATATTTCCCCGTATCTCCCGTATTCACTGTTTTCTATTACTGTGTAGCATATTACCACAAATTTACAGGCTTACAATACTCATTTGTCATTGCACAGTGTCTGTGGGTCAGAAACCTGCGCATGGCATAACTGGGTCTTTTGCTCAGGATCTTACCTGGGGGTCTTCCTCCAAGCTCACTGCTTTTGGGCAGAATTCCATTCCTTGGGGTTGTAGGACGGAGGCCCTCAGCATGCCCTCAGCATGCCCTCAGCTCCTACAGGTGTCCTGCTGTCTCCTGCCAGGGGCCCTTCTCCACAGTGAGACAGTTTGCTTCTTTAAAGCCAGTAGGAGAGTTTCTGATTTAACGCTCTCTGATCTCTAGGTTCTTTAAAAGGGTCACCTGATTAGGTCAGGATCATCTCCCTTGTGATTAATTCTAGTCAGGTGATTAGGGACCTTTTAATTACCATCTGCAAAATCCCTTCATCTTTGCTATGTAATATAGTTTACCCTGGGGAATGATATCATATACATAGGTCCTACCCATAGTCGAGGGGAGGTTACGCAGAATATTTCATCAGATTGTTTAAACAAACCAACAAAGCGAAGGATCTACGCTGCTCTGCAGAATCTGTGAGAGGCGTTGGCTGTGACCTGTGAACATGCATTTATCCATGAAGGTCATCACACCCACAAGGGTTGCTCCTGCAGCATCAGTAAGGAAGCTCTCCTGCTGAAAACATTCCATTTGCTGAATATGCAAATGTGAAGGATGTCAACTTTCCCAAAGAGGTGGCTTGGAAAGGCTCAGTTTAACCAGATGAGAAGGGGCACACCCACTCAGGAGCTGACAGCCTTCCTCAGAAGGCTGTGTGTCTGGTGGCCAGGTAGAGTGATCCCAGGAGCTAATGTGCCCTTGACAGTGAGGCCGGCAGATCAGAGACCGACCTACACAGGTGCCAGCCAGGCTCTGAGCTTTTATACACCTGACCTCCCAGTCCTTAGAAATGAAGTCCAAATGCCCCTCTCCCCATGGGCACTTCTCACCCTTCAGACCTCCCCAGGAAATGCTGCCACCTGCAGCCCACATTGCATGCCCACAACTGGCCATGCACCTCTCAAGGGGTTAAACCTTGGCCATCATATATTTGCATGGGCCAAGGCACCTCGTCTGGAGTTCCCTGCTCATTTGAACGGATTTTTCTTTTCTTTTCTTTTTTAAGATAATGTTACATCATTTACAAGGAAGATGTGCATTTTTTGTGTTTGGAAGACTTCCCCCCTCCCTCTAGCTTTATGACTTTATTAATATAGACAGGGAGCGAAGCATGCTTCCTATAAACACTTTATAGGAGAATGACTGCAGCTTGCTTTGAACTTCTCAGGAAGGCCTTGAGAGCTGCACTGCCTAATGGAACTATTATAGAATTGAGTCACGTGCATTTTCATTTTCAGTAGCCACATTTTTAAAAGTAGGTAAAATCAATTTCAATGATTCATTTTATTTAACCCAATATTTCCAAATCATTATTCCAAGATGCAATGAATACGCTGATTCATGAGAGAATTTACTTTTATTTTGGTACTAAATCCATACTGTGCTTTACACTTATGGCACACCTCAGCCTTGTTTCCATTGCTTAATAGTCACACGATCCAGAAGCTACTGCATGGGGCAACCAGCTTCAAAGTATTAATACAAACCAGGAACAAAGGCTTTGTGCTACTCACAACCGCTGCCTGCCGCACACCGCCAGCAGGGTGGGGAAATACAGTGAGAATAGGCCTGCATCACATCACCGGGGCTGGGCTATGTATGTGCAGGTTCTGTGCATAGAACCCCAGCCCCTCCGAGCCTGCCTGAGAGCCACACTGACAGAAATGTTCCTTGGGGATTGCTGACACACATAGGGCCTTGGCCCCAGAAAGTCACAGCTTCACATCTTCCCCAGGAAGGAGGAACTGCCTGGGGATCCCCACAGGCCTTCTGTCCTGGAGGACAAGCTGACTGTGTCATTCCTGTGTCGAGGCACAAAGAGCAGGGCTCCCGCACCAGGCAGATGGCTTTACTTGCTCTTGGAACCCTTCTCTAAACTCCCGTGACCCTTGGTTTGCTCGTCTGAAAAATAAGGAGCATTCTCATCATCCCTCAAGGCCATTGTCAGGCTCAAAAAGCAGAGTTTGTTCAAAGATGTTTTGTAAACGATCAAGTGTTGTGCAAATAACAGATTATTTCCACATCTCTGTGAAAGCAGACAGAGGCTGACCCCAGGGGAGCCATGGGGCAGGGACAGTAACCCCCCTGCCTGTAATGAGATTCCAGGACAGTTTAAGGCCAGTGCCTCGGGGCCTTCAGAAGGGCACTGGATCCAAAGGGCACTGGATCTGGCACTCAGGAGGGAGTGAAAGGGTGCTGGAGAAATTGCTGACTTTGAAGATTTCCTTCAAGCTAATTCTGTATGTGATGAGCTGACTTTTCTTACAAGGCCCCAAAGCACACATGTAAATAGGCAGAGTTTTAATAATGTTCCCCAAAGACTTGCCTTCACACTGACCTTTTCTGCTTCCCT